GAACCTCTCCCACCTTTTCTCTTTCTTTGTCCGGTCGATCGAACGATTCCGTTCATTTAAATACCGTTATACCGGAGGCGGTATACGTTTCTTCGTCTGGTTCGACCGTTAGAGGCACTTTCGCTGGAACATCTCTCGCGTCGTTTTTGTATCCGCACGAGAGCGTCGTTCATGATCGACGATAAATCGTGCAGACTTTCCTCGCTCGAGAACGACCAATCTCGCACAGCCTCGTTTTCCATTTTCATTTATGTAGTTTCTGTTTGTCTCGCTGACTCGCGATTCGTCGCGCAACGTCGACACGCGTTCCGTTTTATAACGCAGTCTCATCGTATGGATGGACTCCTATAAAGAAGCGTTCTACGAGCACTGGAAGGAGACGAGCAACGTGCAGGCCAATGACGTGTTTAGCCCGAAGGAAACGAACAAATTTCCACTCCATTATAGATTTCTAAAAGGAGCGGGTAATTAGCGCGCTCGTTAAAGAATCTACGCGACTTTCCTTTTAACGGTCCCCTCGTTTGGCAGACATACGGGCCCGATATCAACGTTTTCTTTCGCGTTGTTAAAACATATTTGTTAATCTTATCGAGAGGGAAAAGTTATCTCGTTCGTCTTTTTCGTCTGTTCGAATATTATATGGAAACGAACGCTATGTATTATATAGCGACTAGCGAAAGTAGTTGAACGTTCATTATAGTAAGTATGTCTTTTTTATATGCAAAACGTTTTGAAACTTCTTTGCTATTGTAACGAGACGATAGGAGCATAATGCCGGACAGTTTCGTGACGTTGTTCGTGTTTCCAGTAATCACAACAGGGAAGCAAGCTGGAGAAGAGCGATAGACGATAAATTGCTTCAAAGGACAGTGTATTAGATTGTCCGAAAAGTGTCTTTCTTTCGCAAACGTGTTTTTTAACAACAGTGCACCTTCATACAAACGCGAAACCAAGTCTGTGAAATGTCGCGGCGTTTATCTCTATGGTACGAAACGAAGGAGACGATAATCTTGTGATTCGCTAAATATTGAAATTCGTGATTTTAACGAAATTGGTCCTCTCGATAGAATCCGGTATTTCTAAAATTCTGAAGCTATTTTCTGTATCACCCTGTATGTCGACGATATTACGAAAACGTGGAAATACAAATGTACGCGTGAAATCTACTTGGACACAAAATCCCGTGAACAAAGATCGCAATTCGACTCTGCTGGAAATAAACGTTTCGTCGTACGTCGTGGTCGTTGTGATCGTCGTAATTGAGTCGTTTTGAAAGGCGAAGGATAAAACAAAAGAAACGTTTGACGAGGGTGCGTTTCCGCGAGCAAATCTCCGTCGTCCTCTTGGTTACACGACGTGGGTCACCGTGAATTCATTGCCCGACGAGCCATCTACGAGGAAACAATTTCGCGTCATCCTACTCTCGTCCACGACGATCCAATTTCCGCCACCATTTTGTCATTAAGTCGAGAAAGGCTGCGCCTCTTTTATATCGGCGACGCCGAGGCGGGAAGGAGAATCTAATTTTCGTTGATTGATACAAAGGATGGTACCCAGCCGCGATAACTCGAGGCGGTCCCGATAGACGACCGGGTTACGCGCGCAAAGTGACACCAGTGACACGGTGTCGGTGAGTCATCCAGTGTGTCGAGTCAACGAAAATTCCGTACGCACTGGCTGATCTTTCTCGAGAGCCGGGCTTCCACTAGCTCGCTAGCTTAACGACCATGGTGACGCCTCTCGTCGAATCGAAGATTATTTTTGGAGCGCGAATTAGTCATTAAGAAAGCATGTTTTCGAATATTTCATCTAGAGAAACTTGCATAAAACCGGATGCCAGGGTGATCTGAGTAACTAATAAATAAAAAAAGCCACTATTTGACAATTATTTTTCACCGTATTAAGGCGTTTGTCGATAGAAATCTATTCCAAAAAGTACGTCTATGCACTATGTTGAATTATTACGTTTCTTGTGTCCTTAACCGTTTGAGTCCCAGGAGTCTTTGAAAAAACAGCATCGAAAAATCCCAAAATTGTCTTAATCGATTGTGAAGAGAAACAAACGGCGCAATAACGTTCGTCGTATTTGTTATTTTATGAAATACATCTATAGCATTATATATGCGTACTATTAGCCTATAAATATTTCAAGTTTAGTTCAATAAAAATTATTGAGAAGATAACAATGAAACACAAAATATCGTCAGTCGTTCGTAGCGTTCAAATGTATCGGAACTCTTCGATACAAAATCTAAACAGCGCGATCGCGCTGTTTGACATCCAAACGGTTAAGTGCTCTGACCTTATTTTCGTTAGTTTTCGAAGGTATGTTACCGCGTTTTGGTCGCCAGAAAATAAGCTAACATCCCAAAATTGATCGCACTGAATTATCATATCTATCGTGATTTTGGAATCTGCGTTATAATAACCTATAAGAAGCTGTAAATGCAAAAAACGTGCAAAGCAGCGTATTTTCTCCCCGCGTTAAACCCACCAAAAACTGTTTAGTTTCTATGAGAAGTTTCCTCTCCAAATATTAATGCAAGCAGCACGTTTGCAGAACGTGTGTAACGTTTGCACAAGTGGCTGTTCATTTCCTTTACGGACAACGAAAAGCCGGGGAGCCGTTAATTCAAACGGAGAAAGGCGTCGTGGGTTGCTAAACGATGAACAATAAACGTGACTCACGGGCCGACTGGCCGTTTCCTTTATTCGCGAGTGAACCGTTCCAGAAGCGAACTCTCTCCCTCGACTCGGCCTGCAACTTTTAATTAGTTTGACCTCTGATACGGTCGATACGGGATCTTTAAGAAGACGCTCAATTTCTAAGAAAGTTCCAACGATCTTATCGATTCGATTCGAACACTGCACGACGATTTAGACAAACTTATCAGTTTCGGAATCGGAAAATTCTTCAAACGCGGTATAAAATAATCTCTATGTAGCGATAAATGAAATTTAGGTGAACTCGATGATGTAAAGCGTGAAAAGATAATTTTAATAACGATGACGTTGATCGATACCCAACGTACTACCGACCTTTAAAATTGCTTTTTCCGTAAGATGTAGAAAATGTGATTTATCACGTACATATTCTTCGCCTGTAGTCTTTATTTATAGTTTAGATTTCAAAAGACGGTGCCTCGAGCTCTCGTTGAATCTGTCGGGATTCGTTGGATCGTGGGTGGCGTAGCGATTTACATAAAATCGTGGTCCTCGAGACTGGTACGTGGGCGGTCCATCGAATGCTTGAATTCGATTTGAAAAGAGACCATCTCGTCAGACTTTTGAGTCGTGTCTAGCATCTCTAAAGACGCGATCATCCAGATACTAGCGTTTCCGGTACCTACACTCCAGCGATAAATTTCGATTATCCGATTCGGTGTCTCCCTCTATTATCTAACCGTTCGTCGATGGAACGTTCTTCGAATTTCTGACAGGTCAAATTTATTTCGACTTCGCAGCGGGCTACGCTGCGTTACTCGTTTCGTTTGCCGGGAATAATCCGAAGATAATTCTTGGCCGCGTGTTATTCGATCGGAGGTCAACGTACCTCGAGTTAAGAGGTATTAACGATACTCAAACAATTCGACATCTACTTGTAAGTATGGTCGAACCTCGAATCTCAAGGGAATATCTAAGACCTTTGAATTGTGAGATCGAAAGATAAATGGATGCTTTGTTCAAGGATTAGTATTTTTCGTATTGTAACGAGTCGAAGGAAGACAAATACATATTTTACAGGTCAACTGTTTATCCATAAAAATAAATAACGTTTGTAAAAATAAATAAGAGCGAGGAGTATGGTGGATGCAGGTTGAAATATGATTCTTCGTTGCAAGGTGTAGATATGCACGTACATGTTACTTCGAGTTTTAGAGGCAGGTGGTCAGACTTGAACTACAGACGTGAATTTCGATCACACAGCTTGGCCTTCTTTAAATTCGAGCACAAAATCCGTGGCAACTAATTATCGAGATTAGTTTCTTCGTATAATAACAAAATAATTTCAATCCTCGTCTAAATCGTTAAAAGATATTGCCAATGGATTATTAGGAAAAACGTTGTAGCTAATAATTTAGCTTCTTTGTGCAATGATAAAATAATTTCAGCCAAGTTTATATCTCGACGTATACAGATTCTGATAGTGGAGCGAAGAGAAGAAGAGTTTTGGCAGATTCACACAGTATTTTACAAAGAAATTTAACCTGAGCCAATATGGACTGAAAATTCGTAAGCTGGTTCGATGCTGGTATCGGTCGCAACACTGCGATAAACCGGTCTCTAATTTAATTTGCTGTTATCACGAGTACGCCCTTCCTCGTTTCTCCCTAGAGATCGTCTTACTTATCGATCTGTCGGTCAATTTCCTAAATGACTCTTTCTTTCCAAGATGCGTGTGCACACTGCATCGAGGCGGTGACTCACGTTCGTCCGAATCGACGCCATGCGTTTCTGTAAATCTCTGAAAACGTCCAAGCAAGCTGGAGTGGAAGAAGGGGCGTGAGCGCCCTCGTGAAATATCGTTGAACGCGAACGAACAGTTAGGGTTTCGCGGTAAATGAACCTGATATTGTTAGAACTAGCAGAGTGGTCAAAGTGACCGGTTTATAATTCTTCTTGGAAATTTCGTAGATTCACTACGATGTATTTTTAAGAACTTTTTTAAATGATCTTTTACGAGGTATATGAACAAAGACTCGTTTTCATTTTCTTTATATTATACATATCCTTTTTAGCATATTGTTCATTTTAATCTCTCCGGCACGTGTTTTATACTTCAGTCGTCAATTAGTAAGTGGTTTTTCAACTTCGATTTAATATTTGTATTTCTGGGTCACACGGCTCTCAATGCACGTCCGTGTAATAATTACTTTCTTTTTTTTCGTTTTGCATCAGTTTCTCTAAGAGAATGAACGTTTTATAAAATAATGAACATGCTATAGTACGACTATACCTATATTACTATATTTTCATACACACATATATATACATATAAAATAAATACCCGTGAATATCAGAAATTGAATTATAAATACACGCACTAGTGATGCCAAGTACATATAATACGCCATGTCTCTTTTATTGCAAGCGATCGATACATCACATCATCTTTTATCGTTTTCTATAAATCAGCCTCGACAAATCCACTTAAAAATAAAACAAAGAGCAACAAGTTCGTTCCTTTGCTTTCCAATTTGCCTCGGACAGAGATGAACTATTTTAGAGCGTCACGAATGGCATGAAAACTGTTCTCGGTGAACGATGGGGTACACGTGATCGTTGTCTTAATTCGTTTCGCTGTGAAAACGGACAGACGGCTGGGTGTTACGCAATTAAAGTCGCGTTTCAAACGAGCGTTGTCGCGTGCATCGGCAAAGTGCGTCCAGACAATGACAGCGTGTGGTTGATGGCGGCGTTGGTAATGACTGGCGTTGCTAGGCCAAAGGAATAGAAGAAGAATGGAGAAGAAACGTCGGCTAGGCTTCTCTTCTCGTCTCTGTGTACCGCTAAAAGAAATATGTCAACCGTTCTAGCGCAACAAGAGGAACGATGCACAGGTACGAAGAAACGAATGGCACACGGGCCTTGTGCCATGGCGCATCATCCGCCGGTATTGCCTCTTCTTTTGTTCCTTTCCACCGAATAATCACGAATACCATGAAAAACCAGTCGCAATTGCTTCCTCTCCCGACTTTTCTCATTTCCCGATGTGCCTTTCTTTCCACTGAAACGGGATTAACGTTGGGCGTCGGCTTTCAAATTCTTCTCCTCTCTGTCTCTTCGCTTCCGCCAATTATTATTACTTGCGGCCATGTTGTTCCCTCTTGACGTTGTTGTCAACTGGATACGTTAATTCTGTCCGTTTGAAAGTGGTCGCTACTCGAAAACGTCGTTACGTAGAGGGACGATGAAATATCACGTTAAAGAAGATTCTTGTTCGCTATGTAACTCGCTTCTTGTTGAGGATCTGGAAATCCATACTGTAACGTAGCGGATATAGTCGTTTGGGTGCCTGTTGCTAATAATCACTCGCTCCTGGCTGAAAGAAACAGAAAGATCGCTATAAATCGCAACTATTAGGTTGTCCGGAAAGCGTCTTTCTTTTACACACACGTCTTTTACAACGATGCATCTTTATACAAACATGAAACCTAATCTGTCGAACATTGTAATCTTTATGTTGATAGAACAAAATGGATCATACGTAATTCGATAAAATCATATAAAACGGAAAATGTTTTGTATCCATTATTTCCTTACAAAACAAAAGAAACTTACCTAATAGTTGGTTGCACAGGTATGCACGAATCAATATCCGGAGTATCTGTTATAATATTTAATAAGTAAAACGAATTTCTACTTAGGTTATATTACAATTATGTTGGTAAAAATATAAATTTGTATAAAAATCTGTGTAACTATCATCTGGTAAAGTTATCTGACCTAAGATGACGAAAGGTGATTTTATCGAAGGCAACTGGATCGTGTGCTCCTCCAAGTTTCATGCTGTATGTTATCGTATTTCTTGCGATATGGAATTACGCACGGGTGGTATACAGCGGCATATAACAAATTCGATAACTCGTGAAAAGGATTCTGCTTTATTTCCAGTAGAATCGTCTACTTGGAAGACGAAGCAGGAAATGTCGATTCGACGAAAGAAAGATAGATCCTTTGGTTTGAATTATGAAACGAAGGCAGGGAACGAGTCGATAGGTGGAAAAAAAAAAGGAAAAGAAAAAATAGAGGAGTTGCATCGGTCGGACGGTATCTCCGATCGAGAGGTTCTTTAAGCGTAGAAGAACCACGACCACAACTATTTTCTACCACGCTTTCATACCGAGGGACGAAAATACACCCGATGGTACTCGTTTCAGAGCAGACGTTTCTTAAATAAGCAACTGCACGGGAAAGTCCCTTCGAAAGGAAGAAATGCACGCTCCTTCTCTCCACTTCCGGGCGAAACGACTTCGTTTTGGAACAATCGTCCCTCGTACGAATTTAGAACGGCTGACGAAAGCATTTCGAACGCTTACCATAGGAAACTTTTACGTATATATCGTGCGCGTTGTCTACGATGTTTTAAGATTTCATTCTTGTCGTAACGAAACACGGAAATCATGAGCATATTAGTGAAATTTGAAGCCAATGCGAAAATGTATATAGGAATTGCGAAATATTCATCGCAAACAAGTAAACGAGAATGCCACTGAAATCGGTAGAAGCTTGCAAATAAGAGAAAAGGAACTTATTGGGCGATTTAATAGCAACGACTGTTGGTCAAACACAGATTATGGAGATACCCCTTAAAGAAGAATGAAATAGCGTTCAATCGTTCGAACGCGAATTAGCGTGCACAGCTTTTTGCCAACGTGTTCCAGCGAGCGGTTTCCTCGTTTGTCGCAATTTCGTCGACGAAGAACAAAGCTGTTTACGAGCGTAAAAACTACGGGACGTTAAAAAATTGCATTTCGTCGCGAACAGTTCCTTCCAACGTCGACTTGTTTTATTTTTTGCTCTGTTTGCAAAAGAGCGATGCACGCCGTGGATATTTATAGCCAGCCACAAATATGAGAGGCACGGAACACGAATTATGTCGGTGATCCCTTTTTTCCCTCTCTTTTCTCCTTTTTTCATTTTTTCCCTACCTTTTTTGCTCCTCTTTGCTCCATCCCAGAATTAACCGGATCAGCACAATGTGCACGCATATCGCACGTTTACGCTCGCGTTCTGACCCGATGTGTTTTAACGTTGCCCGGTACCATGCCGTTCGTTCACTCTTTATAAATAGACGCTTTAAATTCTGTCGCGTCCGGGCGTGGCAGCCCGAGATCTACGAGGATCCTAGACGCGGAATAGATCACTCGTCGCGATCCATTCATTAGACGTTAACAGCCTGTTTCCCTCTGTTTTTCTTTCTCCAACACTCACCATTTACCTCGTTTTCCAAACATTTTTCCGAATTACGATTCTACGTTGAAAACGATTCACTTTCGCACCAGTTTCTGCTTCGTAAAACGGTCATTTCTTTTATTTTAATATTTTTAGAATTTTCGTAAAATTTGGTAGTTTAACGTGTTATTTACCCACATATTATTTTTACTTTTACGATTAAAATCGTTGTATGATTTGTAATATTTACATTTAACGCGCCGTGAGTTACTTACTTTTTTTAATTACGTTTGTATTCGTTTAGATTCGTTTTCATGTAAAAGTGTCGTTATACCCGGGCAGTTTTCGTAGCTTGGAAATTTGAAAGGAACTAGGCGCTGAAACGACCTGGTTTCGTAGCAATTTCAGCTTCGCCAAAGTCAATTTGGTACCTCGCTTGACATTTTCCAGATTCTCCTGAAATCGAGAATAATTGGACTGTTTATTTAAAAATGTAGTCGCGCCTAGACCAGCCGAGTTTTCCCAGCCGTTTGAAATTTTCAATGAAACTAGGCGTGAATTGTCGCGGAGACTTCCTGCCCTATCGCGATGTTACGTAAATCAGACGGGATTCTCGGCGCGACTACACTGTGCAATTTACATGGAGCCGCGCACCGGTGCAGCACCGTTTCTAGATCCGACGTATTTTATCATCGTGGAATTCGTGTCGGTTTTCAGGCAAACAAGATTCAGGGTACTTTAGTTTTCTGAGATTACTTAGAATTAAAGCTATCTATATATATACGTAGTCAGTGTACTTCTCTATTTATTTGTCATGTTGATCTTTGGCGTTCTTTTTGCAGATATTCGGGGCACGGCAACACGAACCGTACCTGCCATGTCGGTTCCTATTTAAGGTAAGCACCGATCATTATTTTTTGTATGTTTTAAAACGGAGCTTTAAACACGCATTAGACATTTTCGGCCACACTGGGCTGATAGACTGCGCAAAACAATTGGGGAATCGTTATTACGACTGGTTCTATCGTATCAATTAAACGAACAGAAGTAAAAGAGTCTTGTGGCCTTGATAGGTTGACATGTTATTCGTATATACAACAAACGCCCATCATGTCACGCGTCTGTTATAATAAAAATTGACTTTAAGACAACCGTTAAAAGAAACGTGCAGCTACGAATAACGAGTAGCTTGTGGATATTTATGGAAATTTGTATTTTTACGAGCACGATCAAAGAAATAGAACTGAAGTGGTTCTTTTACGTTTATCAACTATTATAACCAGTAATTTACTTTGCATATTTTGTTTTATCTGTATTTCCGTGTTACGAATATTCCCTACATTTTCTCGTTTTTCGTATTTCTCATAAAAATATAAATGTCCACGATCTATCGATAGCTGTAAGAAGGAAGGCGACGAAACGAAAATCGACCCCTTGGTTGCCTTGCGCGGTGCATTATTTAAATTTTATTCCTAGTCTTCGAAAATCCACTAACGTTTAATGCTACCTATCTTTGGATGTTTGAATCGAACGAACGATAAGATCGCTGCATCACGGTGGATAAAAGCAGTAATCGGATAAAGGTGAAATCCAAAGACCGTTTGAAAAATTCCGAAAACCTTGGACTCTATTCAAATCACTCCGGGAATGTACGTATATTTCCCAAGCGATATCGTCCGAATTTTCCAAGCTTCCAGCCACGATCGTAGGAAGTCGTCGCGCGTAACCACGCGCATTCGCTGTCTCGTTCGCCATAAAATTTATACAACGTAATCTGGCTACAGGCGATAACGCTTATCGTCGTTCTGATCTTAATTACGGATTACGTCAGCGGACAAATTGGTTTGCGGTGAACGCAGAATCCATCGAATATCAGTTCCGTGTTTAGCGTAGTGTACCGCATCGTGACAACGCTCGACGTAATTTCTCGTCGAGAATGAAGAAACAAAAGGACGAAACGTGAAGTGGCGGAAAGGAGAAAACGCGCTACGATGGGTATATTGTTCTCGACGACCGTAAAAGGCATCCGAGGAGGATGGCGCTTCGCATCGGCTCATCGTGGCTGGATACTTGAACGATGAGGGAATCGATGCTCGTTATATATGGTTGTGAGTTTGTGATTGTTCGACAGAACCGGAAGAGTGCACACGAACGTTCGGCGTAAAAGTGACTCGAACGAATACCACGGGCCTTCGTGAAATGGATGCGCAAATCTTGCGTAATTCCATCGTCGTTGATGCACGATATACTTGCAGGGATGGGCACGTAACCGTAATCATTTCGATTGCTCCAAAGAATGGATACGGTCGAAATGACGGGTTTCGGATGTCCTCTTTTCTTTTCGTTATTAAAAACATACGGTACTTTGGAAGATATTAAAGTCGGCTTGTATCGAGATATAAACGATCGTATTTCATTATCGAGATCGACAAGAATGCAACGAGTACTTGTTCCTAATGACGAGTCTGAAGCAATATGTTCGTGGATGAATGCTGTGAATCAGATTTGAAGAAAAAGATGTATTCTAGGAGGATTATGTACAGCAAGCTGATATCTTATATTTCATAATCAAAGATGTCTGTTAGAGGTAAGAGTTTTTTCCAAAGTAGAAGAAAGAAAGAAAATAGGTAAGAGAAAGTTATAAAGGTAAGAGTAAATTTGAAGATTTCACTTTTTGGCGTTTGACAACGCAATTAAGTCTTGGCGAATTGTAAGTCAGATTTCCTGCTTTCTCTTCGAATGCGAAGGACTTCTTCCACGGCGCATGGTTAATTACTCTCAGCTTGTACAGCCTCCGAATGTCCCCGAAAACTGTAATTACGAGCGACGTTGTAACGAACGGTTCGACGCGAGTTACTCGGCGAGACGTAGGAGGCGAATCGAAAGTCTGTGTCAAGGTTAATTAATAAAGAATTAATAACGAAAAATTCCTTGACGGCGATCGCCGTGCCAGCCTCGAGAAACTTTTGTTTCTACGATCGCTCGAAAACTTTCGTGGCTCGTATTTGGAAAAAATGTATCGTCATTAGGGCGTGTAAATGGTTGACTGAGTCAGACACGAACGAAAGTATCGTTTTATCGGAGGAAACTGTGGTTTTCGTTTTTTTCAAATAAGAAAGTTAACGGCTTGTCAAACTAGTTAAATCGGTTAAAAATATCCAATGCGTGCTAAACTTACACCATAGAAGATAGGAACAAACGTGAGTGTATTAACCTTCTGAACTCTTATAGCTTAGATCATGGTGCAATAGGAGGATTTTAATTTCTATTCCTCTTCGTGCAGAACAGGTTTCAAGAGATTGGTTTGGAATATATATATATGTCGGAGATGAAAGGACACCGGAGTCTCCCCTCTGGAACTTCGGGAAAATCTATAAAATTGTAATTAAAGTCTACAGCTGTAATTAAACAATTTGCCGTCATTCTACCCAATTGTATTTATTTGAGATTTGTGACAATGAGCTTGGGCCCAAGGCGACAATCAGTCGCCGAACGTAGCCGCGTTCCGTCTAACAAAAGTATGGAGTGATAATATAGCTCTCATTAAAAGAAATACCCGTAGAGGTACTTGACGGTAAACATTCCAACGGTTCCTTCGGGCAAAATGATTACCAGATGTCGATGCAGCTACACAGCACAAGTTCAGCTAGCCTGAGGACCCGCTATAAACCTTAGGATTTTGTTAATTAAGGTTCTTCAAACGGACAAGCAGTCTTTGTCCCAAATTGATCAATTAACAGCAACGTCAATTTCCCTCGCTTCCCGAATGAAGACATCTCTCCACGAATCCGAGCATTTCGTGTTCTTAGACACACCCCATCATAGTTTTCCTCGACAGCGTCACCGTGACGGAAAGTCACTCTCGTTGGTGTACGAGCTCTTGGACTAGTTAACTAACGTCTTGCTATGTCCACGCTAGGTATCAATTCCAACTTAGACTTCGACGAAGGAATAAGCCTACTAACCCGTTGACCGCGGATTCGTTGTTGGACCTAGGATCATTGTCATTAGCTTCTCGAGTGTCTGATTACCGCGGTTACTTGTCAAATTCTGTAGTAGTCGTGTTTGCACTAGTCAATGTCTTCTCCATTGCATAGCAACCATGTGTAGTTCAAATGAGGATTCGTTTCACGCCCCTAACCCTAATCATAATGAGAACTCGACATATATATATAAAATATTTTATTACGGATTACAAATATTCTCTCTTTCTCTCGTTTCTTCTTTTCTTTTCTTTTACTCTATTCCAGGTTACCTCACACTCTTCTATAAATTGTGCCATTATTATAATACGTACCATTGGTTATTTTCGTTATTATTTTACTATAATTATCAATTTTTGTTGCCACTAGTGCATATTATTATCAAAATTATTACTATTATTCTGATTTCGTTCGTTGTTTGTATCATCATGTTACTCCGCGTAATTATCCTGCTCCTCGTTTAATTTTACTCACGTTACGTTAATTGTTTCACTTGCGTGACTGCCATTCGTAATATTTGTATGAAAGGGTCCATTCCATTAACCAACGCAAATAAATTAAATTTAATTATAGTACCGAAATTGCTTAAACATTTCGGTATTTTAATGTGATGACAACAAGTATCAGATATACATTTAAAAAATAAATTAAGTAATACTAATAGCGCTATACTAGAATCACACTGTTAGTATTGTGTTCGTGAAATACCCAAAGGTGTCTATCGATGCGTTAAATTCCAAAAAATTAGTATTAGAGTAACGAGTTAATTCATCGTCCTCGGTCAACAGGTTAAGGAAAAGGAAGATCGTTGACTCTTCACGGCTAGCGTATAAGTGAATTTGAGAGAGTATGAGTATGAGAGAGAAAGAGAGAGAAAGAGAGAGAGAGAGAGGACGGAACAATTCCGGGCAGCCCCGAATCTTGGTGTGGGTTGCGCTTTAATCAAAGCGGGTGACGCTAATACCAAGTGTTAAAGTCGTTGCATCGGCGACATAGTTCATGGCAGCTATGTCAAGGTCGTGGCAATCTCCCGGCTTTATCTAACGAATCTAGCTCGATTAACGTTTGCAAGCCTTTGCTGCTCTTTCATTGTAAACGCTTGCATAAAAGCGTCGACACTTTCACCTCATCAGCTATCCATAGATTCGTAACAATGTGAACGAATCAATCTGAGTATAAATTTCAATGTGGATGCTTCATCGAAGCTAATTCGGAGGCGAAAAAAAAGTTAAAAATACAAGATCGATCCAGTGAAATTTTAAACGTCATCCTTTGTGGAAAACGATGGTTGGACGACAAAGAGCGCTTAGCCTTTAACCTTTATCAGCTGCTCTGCAAACAAATCATGTTTCAACGGACGTGCGCTATTCCGCAGGCAAAACTGACGATTTACAAAAGCTCAAAGGCAGCTCGGTAAACATATCCACCCTTCGTTGCCTTAGGAAGATCAGATACCGTGCAAAGGTTTAATCCCTTAAAGCCTACGTTTCTCTCGTCCTGCGTGAAGAAGCGAAAATCACTGAAGGAAAACACAAAGAACAAAATTTTCGTTGTTTTTCAGATTCTAATATCGCTTTGTGAATAAACAGGAAAATTTCAATATGACGTAAATGGAAATGAGAACAGTTTATCAAGTTCACAGAAGTCTTTTAAACATAGTCGATAAGTTGATAGAGTTTCACGGAATTCAAAGATGAGCAAAATTTTAATATCTCCGATGTTGCATCATTACGAGGAATATTTCGAAATTTTTAAAGAAGGCCAACATCACACGAGAAAAATACCATTGTGCCATTTCGAATTCTAAATCTTTAGCTGGCAGTATATAAAAGAGATATAAACAATAGAAAGCATAAAATATCCAAGACATGGTTCTACTCAGAATACCACACGTATATCGTTTACTCCAACAATTAGAATAATCAAGTCACTGTCAGAAACATATCAGTTACTGTCTCCGTGAAACAACACGACCTTAAGGTAACACGTGGAAACCGTCACCGTGTCATCAATGCCGCCCCTATTTCCGGGTCACCGTGACATTACCATCGTCCTCGCGGTCAGGCTCGACCCACGGCCGAAGCGGAGAAGGATACCAGAAGCGAAGAGAAGAGAAACGCGGATGCAGCGGTCCGCGCTGGGGGATTTAAAAGGCCCACCGTAAAAGGTGTAACGCAAGCCTGTAACGATACCTTAACGAGAACCGGCAACGATAATTTCGCCCGACAACCTTGCACATCCCGCGGCGCTGCACGCGGATCCGACGTGGTCGTCAGCTGTGCGAAGGTCAGGGTCATCCGGCAGCCGAGGGTGCAATCGATGCACGATACCGCCGCCCCTGCACCCCTCGCTGGCTGCAGTTACCATGGAGACCATCTCCTGACCCATTGCTACAGAAAGAGAGAGAGAGAGGGGGAGAGAAAGAGTGTCGTTCTGTCGACACGCAGAGGCTGCATCGCCTATTCGTCTCTCCGTGAGAGTGTACCGCGCAGACAAGGAACCTAAGCCTACATCGACACGTACCAAGAAACACGAGGAAGAGGAAAGAGGGATCACCACGATGTGACAGTGACGAGCGTGCGACGCTTCCATGACCCGTCTTCGCTTCTTACCCTTTTCTTGCCCGCCGTGAACGGAAAATCGGTCAGGAAGCTGAGTACCCCATCCTCGAAGTTCGTCAACGAGCATCGTCTGGATTCTTCAAAGCGTTCAACCGGCCTCTCGTTGGCAATTTTGGTCTTGACAAGCTCGGTGGAGGCACGACCTGTGACCTTGTATCGTGAAACACGAAGACGAGCCGTGACAGAGGAAAGTGAAACGCAGTGGACGCAGTGACATAATAGTGTGTCGTAGGGCGGATCGTTAGGTTGACGTTCGAGACGATGTAACGACGTTGGTAGTTACGAAACGACCGAACGAACGTATCCGAGTTCACACGAACTGTTTCTTTCAATTCTTCACGGCTAGGGTTAGGTTAACGTTGGTTCGTTTTCGTTTATGGTAGAGCGGGATAATATTACGCGGATGAAAAAGAGAAGAGACGCGTGCTCGGTGGTTGAGCAACGAATTCGAAACTTGTACGTTCCCAGGGGAACCGGTCGCCGGGCAGAGCGCGTGGATATGGTAACGAAGCATTGTGCAAGGTCGGTATGAACGGAGACTAAGGTCAGCTGGTACAGATCGATATCCCGAAATTGTCTCGGCATAGTTGCCTCGTACGCGCGCCGCTTGTGAGATCAGTGGTGCTTCGGGGGGCGGCGGAAATAGTGCGGGAGCGTGTTCGAGCGAGAAAAAATTCGGCCGATCGTGGAAAACGAAAGACGGGAGGATGGATGGCTGGAAGAGCTGGAAAAGGGCGGAGAATTCGTTTCTCACAGCATGGTATCAACGTGTCACAGAGTCTTACGTGGCGACATGGTTCTTCGGGGTGTTTCAGACCAGCAGGATGTCGACGAGCACCGCCACCGGAG